TTCAGCTCTTATTAAAATTCTAATTCTATTTTCATCAAAAAAAATAGCGATTGCGACATTGCATGATACCAACAACGTCCAGCCATACTCCAATGTAGATAACAATTATTACATTCAATTTAATCGTATTTTTGGGCGGTCGGTATAAGCTCTCGTTTGTAAAACATACTCAAACACGCGTGTGATGGTGTGCCAGAAACCATTTTTCTAGTTAGATTTTTGAAAGGAACTATTATTGCGAATGACACACGGAACTTAATATAATAATAATAATAATATATTTATAGTACCTACTTATAATCGTGTACTATAACCGTCGACAGATGAGAACGAGTACAGGGTATAGGTATACCTTGTAAAGTCGCAACTCGTAACGGATCCTCGGCAGCCTGTCACCGGGTTATGTATGTATATATATTTATTTTTTTTCTTATGACTTATATTATGAATTATAACATATATATAAATACCGCAAGCGTGTCGCCGCAGTAAACAATACGCGTCCGACGTGGTGAAAAAACAAACAGCGGTCGCGGTGGTTAGTTGGGGTACCCCATGTATAGCTATAAAATATATGAATATAATATATTACAGTACATATTATTATATTATATTAAAACACGTGTGATATATACAGATGGGTGTACGTAGGTATAGTAATTTAACGCGACCGCAAACTACACGTACGCGTAATAAACCGCGAGCTGGCAGGCTGTGTATAGGTACCTATATAATATAATATTATTACTGTTATTACTTATTACTATTATTATATTTTATAGTCGAGGATACACACGCGGTCAAAAACACCGATCGAGCAATATCGCGTTACCGCGGTCGTGGTCGCATCATGACCGTCGTCAACCTCCTCTCCACACTGCCCACCCACACACATGCGAGCCTTAATATATTTTACGAGTCACGGGTGTGTATGATGTGCGTGTGTTCTGCTTTCGCAGGTCTAGGACGCAAAATCTATATAGGACATAATATACTCGACACAGGTTAGGTGCATATGCATATTTATTATCACTAGCACGATTGGCGAAAGTTCGACGACAAAATACGTAAATATTGTTTAGTCGACGACCTTTCGGAAACGATTTCAAATCACACTCACATATGTAAATATCCGTGTGTTTACGTCTGCTGTCATACGAGTAGGAAATAATAAAAATACAACCGCACACGTCCACCGGTGACATTATAACGTCAATGTCACGGACACGGCTTATTTATTATTATTTTATTTTCAATCGAGTTACCTGATTTTTTTATTGTGAACTGTAATAAATTGAACTACAAACGCACGTTGCCGTCTCACTCAAATCCTGTTGATATCGAGGAGAAGTCAACATTAGGATTTGTTATCTTCAGATAGAGTCCATCTGCCTTCGAAAAGAAAACGGCATATTAAATAATTTTTATTGAAGAACTATTTTATAGAAAACCCGATTTTTTGAATACCTAAATAGTTTTTTTATTTTTATTTTACTAGTATTTTCATGAGCAAAGTAGTAAGGTCAGGTGGGGTAACAGCCTGACGTGGTTTTGCAAAATCTCAGTTTAATGGAACATAGTTTTTTATCATCCATTAACAAACGTATCAGGAATTCAAATTTGTATTCAAAAAAGTGTTCTGATAATTTTTTAGTTAAAAAAAAAAAATTGGGTAAGTGAAAAACAGGTACTTTTAATACAGTTTTATACCAGCTATTCCTTGGCCGTGGCAAGTGCCATAAACTAATACAAATCTTCAAAGAAATTCCGTTGAAAGAATTCAATTATTTTAATTTTATCAAGATTTGACAGACCATCAGTATTTTTTGATTTATAGTTAATACATATTAGGTAGTTTTTTTTTAAGTTTTGGTCTATATAATTTTAACACATATTTGAAGTTTAACTGTCAACTATTTACATATTAAAAAATGAATATTTGTAACTCATAAATATTTTAGTCACAAACAATGTGTATAACATCTTTTTAACTATTTAACAAAATAAGGCAAGTCGTAGGTACTTGCCTCATAAATCATGTCGCACAATCCCCGTGTGGAACTTTACACGGGGGAAGTGCATAATCGGCTAATACTCATTTGTATCATACAATTAGCATAGGTAATTCATTAATGAAATAGTATTATAAATATAAAATAACATTTATTTACCTTATTTGAAATTATTATGACCAATTTAGGCAGGTTAACTAGACCATTGAATTATCGTAGGTTTAAAAAAATACCAGTAAATAACTTATTAGCTTTTTTGATAGTCATAACTGCTATGTTTAATACTTTAATATCCTAAAGTGTAACCAACATTATACAACATTTGATTACTATTAAACTTCGTAATCTTCATGAAATCAACTTTAGAATTGAAAGATTGTATTTTTTATAACCCGATTAGGCACTAGCCCCATTAGACCCTTACCCCTGGCATATATTTTAGTTTTTCGGGAGGGGGGGAGATAAAATTAAAATATTTTATATTTCATAATTAGTTATTGGTGGAATTTAAAAAATGTTAAGCTTTAATTCACAATCATTGGTTATGCGTGTTTGAAATCTAAAAAATTATCTTTTGTTTTTATAGCTATTTGAAGTTCATATTTGGTCGAAGTTATATACCGTATTAAATAAATTATAATAAAAATGTTGTAATTTTAAAATATTGTTCGTGGTTATTTGGAACTTTTGCGTATATCATTATATTTTACATAGACGATGACATTTTCAAAGCATTTAGATTAATTGTCTGGTATTGCATATTTATACCAGGAACCTATCACACCGGTTTTACGGTAAGTCGGTATTGACTTAAAAGTTAATAACAATATATTATGATAGTAATGTATATTTTTATAATAATAAAATATTAATAGTAAATACATTCATCGCTTCGCTCAGAATCTAAAATAATGACATGTTTTAGGAAACAATTAATTCTATCTATCGCATTACCTACTAATATAGTTAAATAAATTACTATGATAGGTAGCATTATAAATATATTATTAAATAAACTTGGTAATATAGACGGTCTTCATTCAGAATCGTTTTTCGTTTACTACGATTTATCATTTAATTCAAATTTAACACATAATTATAATGACTTCCTCAATGAAGAGGTACACTCGACAATATTACTGTACAGCAGTGCGATTAACATACTTTCCACTTTTTTTTCTACAACCTTACTGAAATCTAAAATTGTGACAAGTACAAAGTAAGTTTAAACAGCAGAAACACATTTATATCCAATTATAAAAATAGATTATCTAATTTTCAAAAATGTTAAAAACATTTAAAACATTTAAAGTATTAAAAATTAAAATATATTTTAAACCCCCTATAAGGTGTAATAATATCTACAGTTCCATATAATGACCTTGAATTCGAAGTGTCGAATAATAAAAATAATATTATAAATCTGACATAATAATATATTATAGTCTGTATAGGTTTGGTTTACAATCACTTGTTCTGTGACTGGTGATTTTTCATTTTAAACTCGTTTCTTAACAATTTTCTTTTTATTTAATAATACCTAATTATATATAATATTATCGTTGCTATAATAATACAATAATATACCGTTGTTGTTGTTTTTTTATTTTGCTAACACGTACACCATATCGTTTGGCGATTCGTTCGACTGCAATTTATAGCGATAATTGTGTACTTCATCCGAGATACGTGTTTGTTTCGATCAGCGGTAGTCTCAAAGTCTTGAAATCATGTCATTTGCTCTGCTGTCCATAGAAAATATCGATTACCCTACCAAAAACATGATTGAAATTCATGTACTTTAACTTTCCTATACGATTTAATGTCACTGCGGTCGACTACTTTAGCTACCATCATATTACCATTGTATTCAATCCGATGAGGTGGATTATTTCGATTTTCACGCTATACTAAAATATACATTTTATATACTATGGCCAGCGAGAGAACAAGCCGTGAACCGACGAAATTCGACTCTCGCCATAGTATACAACCGGTCTCGATAGCAGGGTGACGTGTAGTGAGACTAGGGATGTGCAGATTTGGCTTGATTTCTTGTTGGACAGAGAATAATAATATTTAGATATTTAAAAGGGTATACAATTATTTTTATATTTACGTTTAGGAATCAAACAAACATATTATATCATCGAAAATATTGCAATTTTAATATTTACGTATTTTCTTTTCCTTAAATAATATCATTTTCACTATATTTGCAGTATCGTAATTAATGTATACCGAGTAACGACTAAAATAATATGATCTAATTAATTTATAATTCTAATATATTATCTATTTATAGTTAAAGAAATTGTTTTACACAGGTACGCATAATTAGTTACCACTTGGCCATATTGAATGACCTGACTATTGTGCCTATACTGCGATGGATAAATATTAAATATTAGATAATTATTTAGTTTTATTAACTATTATGACTAGTTTGGTTCTGTTATTTATCATCATACTATCGAACGTGTTGGTAGTGTTATACATTTGTACGATTACTATGATTAATTATATTAAATTTATATGCCGAAGTACCTTCACTGAATGGTTTCTTCCCCCAAGACACTCAAGTCATTACACTAAATATAATTTAAATAAACATACATTATGCTTATTGTACTTTTTTTTAGTAAAGATCGTATAAGTTCTAGATAAAAAATAAAAATATATTGCCAATTGTAATTAATTATAGACTACCTATACGTATTATGTATAGTACAGTATAAATTATGAATTTTATAATAAATCTTGTATTATTTTAAATATTTCTGATAAAAAACCTCTTTTGGGAATGCTTGTCCTGAGGTAAACATAATAAACCTATACGTAATATTTATACAAATAACTAGAGAATTTCGATCTCCACGTGGGGGTTTTCTGCACGTATGAAATTATCATCTAAATATCAATAGTTGATATCAAAGTTTTAATTTCACCAAATTACAATTTTACAAATGTGTTTTTTTTGTTCCACAGGTCCGTGGAGACCGCTGTTCAAACCATCGCAAATCCTCAAGACCGAATTCCCTGAACACGAATCGTTCCACGAAGAAGTGGACACTCACTACCGGAACATGGTAGGGGACCACGTGGACAACCACTTGCGGCTGCCTCCAACACCGTCGTCCGAACATCTGTCCACTGGACCAGACAGCGGTGGCGGGTTCAGTGGTGGCGGCATTAGCTACAATGGCGGTGGTTATGGTGGAGGAGTCAGTGATGGCAGTGGTGGCAGTGCTGGTGGTGCTGGCGCAGGACTCGGCAAGAAGCACAACCACATGATCCACTTGCACCTGATACCGCACATTTACGTGCCGATCATGCATTCAGCTGGTTTCTCAGAGGCGAAAAACTATCAAGCGACCATTGAGGACGGATCTTCACTATCGTCGCCTGTCCAGAACTCGGTGGATACGTCATCAGAATTTCACGCCGGTGATGTGGCTGCTACTGGCGGGTCTGGCACTTCCAACTCTGGTGGTACTGGTGAAAATCCCGCGTCTGTCACTGCAGGTCCGGCCGGTGACCACGATCACGGTAACTTTAACGGACACTCGGGGGAGACGTCGTACTACACGATATCCGATGACGCAGTTCAACACCTGCACCAGGACTTGCACGATCATTATGGTAATGGGATCGAAAACAACAACAATCACGACTACGAGGCTCCGCCTAACTCGGTACCAGAAGAACCACATCAGTACCAGGTGCGTGATCGTCATGTTCGTTTCCAATGAATTAAATGTGACACCCCTTGATCCGACCTAGTTGGAGCTTAGCCATTGGCGCAACTAAGGGGATTAGCCCCACCAGATTAAGATTTTGCCCCCCCCCCAAAATATCCTTTATTGATTTAAATATAAGCCCCCTATGTGTTATTTTAAATAAATAGTTTTGTTAGTCCCCTCCTTTTTTATTTGTGTAGGATCGAAGCCTCCCTCTCACATTGATGTTAATAATGACAGCCCCCCTGAAATTTTAATGGATTTCCGCCTATGATTATAATAATTCAGCTTACTTTGGTAAAAAGACGAAATACAATGGTACAATGGTTATAAAAACATTTTGATGCTTGTGTAAGGTTAAAATAATGTAACTACGATGCCTAATTCTTGTCGAATGATATATTTTATTATCCTATTTCGCTTTGCGATTTTCAATAAGAAGTATTAACGTATTGTTCAAAAATCTAAAGGTAATGGTAAAATTACGCAGAGAATGAAATCAAATTTACCGGTTTCTACAAAATGAAAATAAAATTAGAACTGTCTCAATTGGTCGTTTAAATTGAAATAAACGCTGAAGTATCTATTGCTCGACACGTGTTACTTTTTCGAATGCCCATTGAAATATTATTATGATAGGGTTATGGTGGGGGAATAGGCTCGGCCGCTCGGGGTTCTTGTGACGGAACACATCGATTATTATTTTATATATAAGTTAGGAGCTATCCTCGAGAGTCTAGGTATTGGTGATATTGACGTCTACAAAAAAATCAAGAAAAAAATTTATTTTAGTATAATATTTCAACATAATTTTAGTAGAAATCAAAAAGTTTACTCGACCATAATAATATACTTTACGTTCAAAACAATCGAAATTACGTTAAAAATGTCTCAAAACGTAGCCAAAGGTGTCATAGACACCTCATATAATTTTTTTTATTTTCTAAACTGCCTCGGTGACTTGGGTCATAATGGCTAGAACTCATGTATAAATCATTTTTACCGTTTTTTCTGCTCGCGAACGTCACATATATTGCCTATACTTTCCTGGGCACGGCGAATGTTTTTTCTTTTGCTAAATCCCATCACGCGTAATTTTGCTAACCGTTCACGCACTGACTGTCTTCGTGGGGCGATAAGACTTTTGAAAACCATAATTTTCATTTCGAATTCGAAAAAAACTATCGCAAGAAAACTGCCGCCCGTATCCTTCAGTTGAAAATATAATCGCTAATTAAAAATCGTAATTATATTACTGTAAGACACTTCAACAACAACTATTTTCGTTACAGGTACACGAGACCGACGACCTTTCCAAGGACTACAGCAACAAGAATCACGTGACGAGCGTGTCGTCGACGGCGGCGATCAAACCGTCGGCGCACCACAACCATCATTACCAGGCACCGCAGCACAAGCACAGGAACCCCGTGGCCAAACCGAACAGAGGCAAGCACGGGCGAAAGTTGTCCAGCCGACAGGACCTGAAGAACCTGCTGGTGATGCGACCTCCGCCGGTCGGACAGACGCAGACTTGGAGGTACGTGTACCGGCCGGCGATGACCGGACATCACCAGCAGTACTACCAGGCCAAGCAGCTTCCGCTTCCGGTGATCAAGACCAGGACGGTGCCTCTCATCCTGCACATCCGGCAGAGGTCGGACGACGATTGATACGTTTTTGTACATAGTCCGCTCTAGCAGCTATTGTCATCATTTTTTCTGTCGCTGATTTAATGAACTGTCTACACTTGTACGGCACATTGTTATTTAAAAAAAAACAATGATAAAAAAACCGTTTTTGTAATGATTGGCGGCATCGACGCAACGACAGTGCGAGCGTATTTTTGTAAATTACCTATATGATATTTTTTTTATCGTTATTGTAAGACTTCTTTCGTATTTGCATACAGTTATATTATTATTATTATTATTATTTGTACTATTATTATTAGTATTGTTAAAAGTCGATACTCTAATGAACATAAAAATTGAAACCTATTGCAACAAGCACGATAATCACCTAGGTATATTATATCTAATAATTATACAGTTTCATAAAAATAATGAATTAGTTTTGGTTTCTGTATCGTAAATACACACCTAATATAGGTACCACGTATGATATTATGAAAGATTTTATTAATTCGAATCGTACGTTAAAATACATTATTATTATGCTTTTACATAATTTCATTAAAATTCGCTATAAACAATCAGTTTACATCCATTTTTCGAAAAAAAAACTTAAAATTCCATTGTATTGAAATAGTAAAATTGACTATGTACGTTTCAGAAACTGGTTTGACATATGTCATATTAAATGGAAAATATTTAGCTAAAATCTGAGTATCTAAAAACGAAACAAGAAGTAAAAAATGTAACAATTTCTATGTCTTATCATAAGTTATCAATGTTATAATGTTTGATTATTTAATCATATTATAATGTCTGTCTTACAAGTCTACTTGTAACAATTTTACTGTCGAATTTTACAACTGTTTGTAACTTTTCAAGTACATGTTTAAATATTTTAAGTTATTCCTTGGATGAGTTTATGAAAAACTTCATCCTAATCTATGTCTTATTGATCTTGGTTGCTTCGATGTAACTTTACTTATCATGGTTGTGATAATTATTAATTATTCTACATTGTTATAACTTATATAATTACTATAATTATTTTTCATTAATACAACGTAATTGTGTATAATGTTCGGGCTTGTAATTATTTTAGTCTATTTTATTATATACTTATATATTGGCCATAGAGTTAAGCTCAATTGTAAAACTATTTTCCCTAATTAATATACGGATATATTATATTGAAAAAAAAAATTGTCTCTGTCGATAATAATATCTTGATTTACTTACAAAATGACAATTTATAACTGAGGGGAAACATAAACGCTACCAAGAGATAAGCAAGAAAAAATGGTATAAAAACTCCAAAATCGCAAATACCTGAAAAATTGATGATCTGATCACGAAAGAGCGTCTGAGTTTTTGTGTTATAAGTTACATAACATTATATTGTTGGAATTATACTTCAACGTGTTTGAATAGAACACTTATAATATTACAAATATTAGGTATGTTAATTTATTTTTCATTATATTAGGTACACCTACGTCCTACATATTATTAGTTTATCACCATGATTATAATTTTACTTAATATTGATTATTAATAGTAATTAAAAAATCAACCATAATATTATTAATATTGGTACAAATTATATTAATTTTTTTTGGTCTTTGGGATATAAATTGGGTATAGTTTTATAATGGCGATTATGCCTTACTGATTTTGACGCAAATTGTGTGTCATTTTTACACCTTTAGCGCTCATGTTATGTAGCCATTTATAATACCCAATAAATAATTTTGATTTACAAGAGGGTGATATAATAATATCTCTATATTGTTTAACAAAACGTTTAATGTATTGCTATTCACTATATAGCATTTACAACACCAGAGGCCAATTAATAATTATAATATTATAAAAACAATTCAACTAGACAGTATTAAAGTAGGTATATATTATATACACAGATATATATATAATATATATTGTTATTGCGATGGGAATAGGTTTTGACACGAAACAGATGCGGGTCAAGCGGTGGTTTCTTTTTGGAAAAACAAAATAAATGATATGTCGAAATATAAAATATGTTGTGTACATTTTCATAAATAAATCAAAATTAAATAATATATACAATATTCAAAAACGAGTAAGTTGATGAATTTAACAATAAACATATTACATACGTAATAATAATATAATATCTAGAGTGTACTATATAAAAGTGTCACATTCTGAAAGTAACTTAAATATCACAATCTATATAAAAAAAAAATATTATGATACAGGTTGAATATGCTTTAAACAGGTGTAAAATATTGTACATTAGCCGAACAAATTATTTATATGTACACATCGTTCGTCTCGAGTAAAAAATAAAATACAAAAAGGCTTGACTAGTTATTATTAATATTTATATTATAAAGATTCTATATAATATGTACAATGCTATGTAATGATTAAAATGTCTTAACAATGTAGGTACATTATTGCAATATTATTGTGTTTTCGACGATTGTCGGTTCTCATTTGAGGATAACGCCGAGCGACTGATGGGTGGTGGGGTGTGAGGGGTGAGGGACAAAATCAATCGCCCGACTATACATACCTAATATAATAATGTCGAAATTATTACAATATTACATAGGCAAACTACATTTCCACTAGAATCGCCATGATAATATAAGCGATTAAAACGGAAATAGCAGATATGTTAATTCATTCGATTATCAGCGTTTTACATATAAAACGTTTAATGTACAACAGAGAGATGACTCTAATCACGACGAGAAGAATCTAAAATAACAAGCAACAGTTATTAAACGATTTAAGTCCGAATTTATTGTTTATGATACACGTAATAATAATAATAATATTGTGTCTGTAATACAGATCGACATGGATAAAATACGACGCCGGATTCGTGCCATCGATATTGCCTATTTTTGCTATCAGTCTATTTATATATATTTAGCGTTTATACAATTTACAATATATTTATAATAATATAATTTTAATATTTATCTGTATGTACACATACTATAACACAGTAGACACCTCACGAACTAGGTACAGTGACCGTTAATGACCAAGAACGGACAGTACTAATTCGTTTGGTTCGGTGGATTACACTTATACAAAGGTGATATACATAGGAGATAGTTGTAGTCGACTCGTTAATACAATATAATTTCTTATCATTATATTGTTGTAGTCGGTAATGGTTTAACAGAGAGAGAAAAGATAAAAACAAACAATAATTTATAAACAAACGACGCACTTTGTACGTTAGGTGACGGCTCCGCGAGCTATTATATAATATGATTATCGTAGAACCCGCGCGCCAAAGAGATTGTCGAAGCAGCAAATGTCATCATAATATCAGACGCGGCGTGGGTGTCGGACAGCCGACGGACCCACCCCGTCGCCAAATGGTGGGTGGTGGGTGCCGTCGATGTTCAGTCTGCATCGCACCCGGGCAGGTAGGACGCGTTTTGCCGGAGCACGAACGGCCATCCCTCGCGGGGCTCGCCGCGCCGACCACCGGACCGTCATGACGCGGCGGCGGCGGGCGAGTAGCCGAGGTTCTTGCGCTGCAGGAACAGGTGGATCTCCCGGAACGTGGGTCGGTCCGACTCCTGTCGCTTCCAGCACTCGCGCATCAGGTCGTAGATGTCCCGGCTGCACGCCGGTCGGGCCGGGTACTCGAACAGGCCGTCGTCCACGTGCATGTGCGACAGGTTCTCTACCACCCTGTGGTCGGCGAACCCCTCGAACGGTCGCGACTTGGCCAGGTGCAGGATTTCCCAGAGGGTCACGGCAAACGACCAAACGTCGCTCTTCGTCGAGTACTTGTCCTGTGAAAAGAACAACCGAGTTATAGTCAAGAGTTTCACATTTCGTAAACGACAACACACAACAATATATAAATATATCGTAATCGTAATAATAAGGGTGTCGGGTGAACTGAAGAGGTGAAATTTGTGATGCAGGCTACCCCCTCCCCCCCGATTTCCCCAAAATGCTCGATCAATATATTTTTTTCGCCGTTAAAATTCAGTAATATTTGCTGAATGTCACCGTTGGGTCTTGAAATTATCGAGCAGTGCACTCGTTCATAAAATAATGCTGGTTATTACGTACATATTTTACCATAACGTGTAGATATTTTTTCCACAAATAATGATTCCTATAATCATCTAGTAAAATATGTATTATTTGATGGTTCTATGAAAATTACTGTGTGGCTGTTATGGATTATAAATTATAATATCATTTCATACAGGTGGCTGTTATATTTTGAGAAATGGTAATTTTCAAAGAGTATAATTTAATTTTGTATTCATAGAAAGATTACATAAATTATGAGGGGGGACTTTTCAATTTAGAATATTTTTCTCGAAATATTTTGACGCATTGTAAGTTTCTCGGTAAGTGTCATTTGAAAGAAAAAAACAATTTATAAAAAATTCTTCGAAACCGTTTTATAAAATATTAAAATTGTTAGTGCAATGTTATTATATTCTATAGTAATATTATTATGTTCTAATATATTCCAGGAAAATGGCTAAACTCACCAAGAACGCCGATTCCCATGACATCCATCGGACGGGTAGCCCGAGGTTTCCGTCCAGTTTGTAGTAGTCGGCCGAATACGCTTCGTTGTCGGTGCCGAAATCGCTGATTTTCACCTTGTACGCTTTTCCCACCAAACAGTTCCTGAAACACGTTTGAAAATTAATTATAACGGTCGTCGAGGGAGCGTTATAACATACAGTGTTGTACGTCGCTGTAAATATTATAATAAAATACCAACTGAGGTTAAATTCACAATGTTTTTACCTGGTAGCCAAATCGCGGTGAACAAAGTTCAACGATTCCAAGTAACGCATTCCTGACGCTATTTGTGTGGCGAGATACAGCAGACATTGGAAACTGAAAATCACGAACACAAACGCGAGTTGTTAGAAAAACGATTGTCTTTGGTTTTATTACCCGTAGGGCGCTCACTTTATCAGTCGATGTTTTTAAAATAAGAACATTATTTTCTTTCATATTAATATAGTTAGGTACCCATATTATAATATTTTAAAGTGGGTAATAATTGTAAGCTTGTACGACGAGAGGTTACTTTATTTAAAAACCTTAATATATCAACAAAATATAACCACTTATGATGCGCATACTATTTTAAAGTTTAGATGTGAGTAGAGTTGCCAATCACGACTCCTTAAATAAAAATTTCGATCCCATATGTCTGAACACAGAATAGTTGATAATATTGATAGTTTGCTATAATGTTTCATTACCATTACCGAAAATTTCATGTGTAGAAATAGGTTGCTCGTAGTTAAAAAAAAATCAAAAAAACGCAGTATTTGAGTAATTTTCTTCAAAAACACCAAAATCGACCGATAAAGACGAGTGTTATTTTATCATTCTGTTTTGGGATGGATACCTCAAGGTTTTCACAGTGGGGGGCAGGTTTCGAGCAGCTTCGACGGGCACGTGCGTCTTGAGGAACTGGTTGAGGTCACCGTGCTCACTGTACTCCATAACTACGCATAGGGGTGGTTCGACGGTACACACGCCCAACACTCTGGCGATGTTTTGATCTTCCAGACCGGCCAATATCCTCACGTCGTTTTGTAGTTCAGCTCTAAAAAAATCATATAACGTTATATTATTACAGTAAGAATATTGGATAGAATAACTTCACAATAGGATCATATTGGTATCTTGATTTCTTGTCATAGAAATGATTAACTAATGAATATTCCATAAAATGTTAGTTAAGTCTCATAATTAAAGCAATGCATTGACGATTGATTTTATTTAAAGTAATTAGTTATTGACTATCTCATTATATATTTTTTTTTTTTTAGAAAACGTGGTAAATGGTTTTAAATAGAGTAGTTATGTTAATAACAAGTACCTAATCGATACACGCGTAACGTCTTATAAAAACAATTTATTTGGATTATCGTTAAAATCTGAAATAATAAAATAATAGGTTTTTTCAGATTTCAAATTCAATTTAAGTTTTGAATGCTGAGTTTCATAACTGGCTATGTGTCAGGGACTAATATTTTTTACCCATCACGATAACTTACCTCTCTTTTTCCGACAACGCGGGCGAGAAGAATTTTACGGCCACCAGCCGCTTGCCCAGAGTAATTTTCGAGTTGTATTCGTTGATGCCGTCCGCTTCAGCCACGTAAATCTAAAAAAAATCAAATAATGTTGTTACTTGGTTGGCGTATTATGTTTGATGTGTATTATTATTTATTCAAAATGAACTTTGATGGGCGTTTTATAACAATATATAGGTAGTATAGAAAATAATAAAATGTAATAAAATATATATTATAGAAAATAAGAAAAATTACAATTTTTATTTGTCCGCAAATAATGTCAAAATCGGTTGCATGTACAATGGAAAAATATATTTTTATGGACATAAAACTTTTTTATCGTTAAACTCGAATTAGTTTAATGCATGCGATTAAATAGTGCATTTTTATTATTCAAATAAAACTTTTAAGTCCGTCTCTATTGTTTTAGTCAAACTGCGCTTACAATTCATGATAGACAAATTCGTATACTAAAACTTTCGATTTGGCTCGTACTCGAAAAGGTGAGTATTTTTTTTGTTTTTCACATTAAATTCTCATAATATTTAACTAATATATTTGAATTTAACAAAATATAAAATAAAGCGTACGGCACCGTAAAACATTATGTCATAATGCGTAAATATTTTTATTTAAATGTTTGTCATTAGATAAACTTTTTGAAAATTAGCTGAACCTATGCAGAGACCGAACTTGACTGAGTGAAAAACAATTAACCATAACAATGATACGTGATAAACGTATATCGTCAAAAACTAGTTTAAAGAGGGATATATAGAGACGACAACTTACCGCTCCGTAATTACCCTCACTGAGTTTGGACAACATACGCAGACGGTGCCGTGGGAATTCGGGCACGGGCGTTTGTTCGAGCCGGCGTTTCAATGCGGTCTGGGATTCTTGTTTTTGCGAAGACTGTAAAAAAATTAAAACAAAAAAATTACATATTACGTGTAGTGTATGTATACTGTACGTACAGTAATGAGCGCAACTCGTAAATAGTTAAATGTTAATAGGTCACCGTCAATGACGATGGGGTGGACGACGGACGATCAAAATGTCAAACCGTTCTCCGCTATACCCAAAAGATATCTTTAAACGGATAATAATTTTTAAAAATTGCTCCCCCACCCAACAGTTTCTGTTTTATACGATTTTTCGTCAATGCTATCGGGGTCCACTTGACCTATAATATTAAACTATATAATATCAAATATCAATTATGAAATGTGTAAGATACTACAATACCCTTTTGAAACGAATAAAAAAGAAAGTAAACAAATATAGACATAGCAGTAGATCGATGTATTTGAAGTGGACTTGAATCGAGTCTGGCACCGATGATTTTACTCGACCTTCATCTGCAAGAGTACTCAAATTCTTATAATACACAGAACGATTGTTTTCATCGCAGTCGATTATTATTTTTTTTTTCAAACAAAGGGACGTTATTTTACAAATAATAATGACTACAAATCATAATTTTACACCAAACCATCGGGCAAACGAATGTTCCTACAAAATGTTCTATAAAATCATCCTGTATACAGATAGTAGGTACACACACCGTTTATGGTATACATACCATTACCATGATATTGTATTACACGTTTGGGCATCTGTGCCCATATAGCATATTATGTTATATCTACTACACGAACGGGCAACGGCAATGGTGACAACGGCAACGGCGAGGTGGTCCGCACAGATGACGTTTTCACACGACAGACGATACACTACGTAGGTATAATATTATATGTATTTGATGTGTTGTAGACATATTTTAGCGGACCCGCGGGTACATTGTGCCCATGATATTGTGCTCGGGAAACGTATACGCCCGAAAACGTACAAAGTGAGCACAATGTTATGTACCTATATATATCACTAAACACACACTGCACAACAGCTATTTGTAACAATCACTCGGTGGAGGTAAATGTAAGTACAATACGATGTACGAGAAGTCAACGTGCAAGATAATATGTACACAATCGAGGAACACACACACGCTCACCGGCAAACGGGCGCTATTCAATGAGACACATGTGACAAGTCGTGTTCGGGGCCCATTATTCATAATCTTTTCATTGAAACGATAAGGGTGGGTGGAAAGGAGATCATGGGCGGAGAAGTGGTGTGGGGAACGAGAGGAGCTTGTCGTGCTCGCCGAGTCTACCGAGCAGTATAAATCATCTGCCGGCGAAATTATTTCGAAGACTGCGAAGGACGGTGCACGACGATGACACGAGCGCGGTCGGTGGTGTGAGGAAAGGAGTGGCCACCTCGTTTATATTTTTTTCCCCCTATCTTTTGAAATCCTCTAAAATGCCCATCTCGTTTTATTTTGTATACTTTTAGTTTTGGTCATTCGATTAAAACCCATAACCGTGTATCAGGTTTCAGTGTTATAATAATAATTATACACCTACGACTGACAGAGTGTTTAATTACCTACTCCCGAACACAATTAACCCACCATTCGTGGTTCTCACAGTGTTATTAATTTGTTTTCCGTTTTTATTACATGCTTTCTTCTGTGCAATTTTTATTATTCATTCATTATGGCTTTCATCGTAGCATTTTCAAATATAAATGTTTTATTCTACAAAGTAATGAAATAATGTTTAGTTTTGTTAGGAAATTATGTACCTATTATACACTACCTATACTATGTATATATTATTTTGATGAATAAATATAACTGAAATATTATACCTTCAGTCTTATTGTTAGGTACTGTAATTTAGTATAACAAGATTAATAATAAATAATGGTAGGTAGTAGAATATTTGATGCACGAGGTAACCCGAGTAAAAATAAAACGAAGGAAGTACAATTATTTAATTACAATTATAATTGTTGTATACCTACTATTAACGTTATAAGTCAACGAGCAAAAAGTACCAATATAATATATTATCCAAGTATTTCTACCCTTACCTACCAAATGAAATATAATGAAGTATGATTGAAATTAAAATAATGGTTAAAAATAAATGCTAGTCGCAGTGTAGTAAGTAGTTAATTAATATTAATATAATATCGTAAAAAATCTATAAAATATAACTAGTTTTCATCATGTTATAATTTTCCGATATCATCATAAACAGAAATGACAAATTATCACTTATATAGTTATATATAATTGTATAAACCATTATAGAGATTACCGTGGTATAAATGAACGAATCGACTGCGTAAACAATCATTATCTGGATTAAAAATGAATAATTAACTTAATTTTTTTACTTCAGATAATTTCAAATATGTCCTAAACATACCCCGTATAATTTAATAAAAGTACCTACTTAGAATGTGTGTTAGTTGTAAACAAAGTGGAACATAATATATAATTTATTTATGATGCTTGGAAATGCGTTAAATAAAGACAAATCAATAAATTGTTACGTTATTGAGCTACACGCATATGCTTGTGTCGGGCTCATAAATTGTGATCAGTTTTATTATTTATTCCCAAGTGGACGTTGGTGTCGGCACTGTTTTTGAGATCCTTCAAGTCAAGAACACTTGTGGATTTATGTACACGGACTTGGCACTCTTACGAAAACATATGTTAAAACTTACTTTTTTACTACTTCTGCTTTCGTCCGTGGGATACATTTTGTTCCTGGCAAACGTGTCGGTTGTGACAGGAGCCACAGGAGGAGCTGACGGTGGCGGTGGTGGCGGTGGCGAAGTTGTGAGTAATGGCATGGTTCCGGTCTCGGGCACAGCGTATTCGTACGCAGAGTCTGAAAGGTAAACAATAGTAAGTTGCCTTCAACAAAAGCGGGAAACAATACAACTTCATTAAATCTTTTAACTTTTGCAACTTTCGTTAAAGAAAAAAAATAGTATTCATTTGTATATTAATTAATGAATTTAAAATACAAAATGAAAGTAAGTCGTTTATCCATCCGTTCACTGTGCATCGTTAAATGCGCAAAGAGTCGTTCGAATCTGTTTGAACGTTCTTTAAGTTTGAGGGTCAAAGTGTACAATTAATACATATAGGGGGAAAGGGGGCACCATGCAGCATTTCGGTTTTCCACGTCAGATAAATGGGCAAACACGGCAGCAGATCCTGTATCATTATAATATTCCTTTCACTGCTCCAGACGTATACTATTACGTCTAAAACATTTATACCATTTACTGCTCCAGACGTACTATTACGTTTCTGTATTTTATAATATTATAATTTTCCGGTAACTGTAACAACTTTAACCAGGACTCGCCTTATTTTAAACTTAAATAATTGGAACATCACATATAAATCAAAATTTAAAAAAAATATTAAAAAAATTGTATACATGCACAGGTCACAGAGCATAAATAGTGTAGCAGTGAAAAGGATATACAGATATATATGATGGTGACCCGATTTCTCGATAAAATATAATATAATATAATATAGAAATGCGACGCTTGCAGAATGTAGGTACCTTTACATCGACGAAAATGTCTTAAACACTAACTATTTGAAGAACGTCTGCAATGACAATTTAGACAATATTTGCACCTACTGGCAACTATTAATATAATAACAGTGGAAATCTTGAGAAGCTTTGTCGACAAATATTTATTAAGATGACGCCCCACTCTAAGGTTAAACAAACGACGAGGTTTGTTAAATCTGTCTCGTTTCTCGTACGCGTGTAACGAACCAAAAACAAGTTGACGCGCGTCTTAAAATAGAATCGATTGGTAAGTGAAATGGTTTAAGAACTAAACAATATTTTATTACTGCATTTTTTAGTACTTAAGTATATTGTTTGAAATATGCGTTTTTTCGGAGTACCGATGCAATTTTTAAAGCTCAATGTAATGCAAAAAGTATCGAATATAAAATATGTTTAACATTTAAACTTGTCTGTCAAATAAACGTTGTTGACAATTTTTTTCTATTCAGGATGTTGCGAGGTCCGGCATATCGAATGATAATTATCATTACACGAACAACGAACAGAAAGTTTTAAATACTCGAATGGAACACCTAATATTTCAGTTGAGTCTATGGTATATTTATATAGTTCAACTAAATTATATCATATTTATTATTTATTTTGACAACTTAATAGTTAGCACTAAATTTCCTTAATAAAATGTACATAGGTGTATGTGCAGAGAGAGAGAGAGAGAGAGAGAGAGAGAGAGAGAGTAGATGAAAATCTTACGATGGATCACGTAAATTAAAAATATGATTTCCTAATGTTTTAGAAGTTAAGTTCGGGTTCGATACAGACAAATTAATGAAAGTTTGATTCATTTGATTCTATAAAAAAGTTAAGTTCGAGCTCAAAAATCGGATTCGTGACATCACTATTATAATTTTATATTATTATATACTCACTACCTGAATCCATGTTGCGGCCGACCACCACGGTACTGTAACTGTAGAACGGCGTGTGCGCGTGGTACGGCTCCTGGTACGGTTCGGCGTCCAACTGGATCAGCCTGTCCATGTCGTGCAGGTGAGCGTTGACGGTGCCTGCCGGGTGGCCGTGGCCAGTGCCACCGGTGCCGCCGTGGTGGCTGACCGAGCTGCCCGTGCCGGCCTCCTTGTAACTGCCACCAGTGCCGCAGCTGCTGCCCGAAGACATCCCCGGACACCCGTTGCCCGTGGCCAGTGCGCTCTTGCCCACCAACGGGCTGGCGAAGCACTTCCTCCGCCGGTGCCTGGACACGATCAGGAAAATAGCTACTGCCAGCAGTATGATGACCGCCATCAGCACGCCGATGATGATCGCCATGTACGTCTGGTCCTCGTCTTTGGCGGTGGGGACTGCACAGGAAGTGAGAAATAAAAAACGAAATTAGGCACGTAATTAGATGTATGTTACGCACATTATATTATTATCGTTCACAGAGCGATGAACACCGTTCAGAAACAAAAGATAACTAAAATATTATATCGGAATCGTTGTATATTCATAGCGTATACGTAGATTTGAAAAACACAATAATTGAGCTGTAAACATTAATTGTTTGTTTGAGACTAAAATTACGATTATCTATATTATATGTATTATGATAGAAATATCATCTTTCTATTATGAGAATTATATTATGTACCGAATTGAGTTGCAATAATAATGGTAACAAACCAGTAGTGATCCCGACAACTGACCACTTATAAATAAGTAAATTCAATTAAATATAGGTATAAATGTATAATAGGTACCTATTATAATTTATTTATCACAAATTCTTTAAAACCACCTGATTAAAGCCCCTTCAAAAATATCTAAGATGTCCTCTTAACGATTAATGTATTGTATGCAATATTTATTAATTATTATTATAATAATATTTCGTGGTCGCCGTACTTGGTAGTTCCGGTCTCAGAGGGTCCTGATGATCTTTCATCGCCGATCCGTCCTTCTGAATCGGTGGCTCTGTCAGCACAACACTTTCCTCGGAAAAGTTGCCCTGCGCGACATCTGAAAATTAAAAACAGCCGGAAATTAATAACCCACATCACATTGTAATAGCCAATGAGCAGTAAGAAAATATAACACATTGTAGTAATTTTAAACAATTTTAATTGACAACACATCTATAATTATGGTTATAATAATACAATTTTGATTGTTATAAGCTTGGCTGATATTTGGAGGGGAGGGAAACGTTTTCAAATGCTTTCCAAATTTTTCTGATGAAACTATGGTAAGTCGAACTAATTAGCAATAATAGGTATGTACTTCATAGAGTACGATGACAATAGTTAGGTTAGGTTAGGGCATTTAAATGTATGAAAAGACTTTTTTTTATTAAGATTCAAAGTTTATGAAAATTATATAACGATTAATAATAAAAACAATATTTTATATTTTAATGTATTTCAATCTATCTAATACCGTTACCTTTTGTGTTTTGTAACATAATTCAGAATAGTGACTTTTTATATTTAACGTATTTTTCTAAAGCTCACATTCAGTATTGTGTGTGGCAATTAATTTGCATGTGTACAAGAGTGTAAAAGAGGGCACACGGTTTGGCACCATTGCATAACGAATGTCTTTCACAGTTAAAAAGCAACGAATTTAAAGCGGGTAGACCGAGATAATGGGAATGGGGATAGTAGGAGGGCCCAGAAGCAATTACGTAGGCCTATTGTTCAAGAGCACCTCAAAAACCGCGGCAATTAAGGGTCTCGCAATTTTCGTTGTCATTATTATCCCAGTGGACAGGCAACTTATATAAAGTTCTTAATTAAAAAATACTCGGTTCGACGATTTAAAAAAACCAGCCCGGCTCTTGCACTTTTTTTATGCGAGTACCAAAAATTAATAAAATATAAGAATAAAACGCAAAAATTCAGGAAAATTAAATAATGGAAATATAATAGTTATCCTGCTTCCGAGTGAATAAAAAACTACCGACGCGAAAAATCGTTATTATAATGTTTTATACTTTTTATTATTTCATTATAGGTACAGATAAAAATTAAAATCCAATTTTAAATTTAATTTAAAGTACAATTATTCTATAAATGTGTGGAATTCGGAAATAATCTTAATAATAAAACAGAAATAGGACTGATTAAATGGAAAAGAAATTATTTTATAGATTATTAATTGTAGTAACACCTATTAATATATTTAATATATTTATTCTGATATTTATAAAACAGTTTTATACACGTTATAATTAATGTTTGGCTACTCTTAGATAATTTAAATCTATGGCTTTAAGATTTTAGTTTACAAGTATTACAACACACAACGCGAAACATTTAAGAAGGAAGATGATGTAAAGCACACATTGTACAAGCAGATCAAAGTATATCATGGTAACATCTTTATGCAAAACTTTACTCATAAATCTACACCTTACCATAACCTACTACGTATAATATTATGAGCACGCGGGCAGAAATTCCTTTAAAATGCCCTTCATTGGATCCTTTGTGGGGGGGGGGGCAAAAGTAAGGAAAGAGAAAATAAAACCGTTATTAGGGTCGATATTAAAAAGGTTGTTTCCGCGAGCCATTTAACCATTTCCCCCTACCCATTACACACATCTGTCTCCGCAGCGAGGGTGTCCAAATGAAGACGCCGACAACGTTTATGACCTTTGTTTTTGGTAATTGAAACGAGTACGAGTTTAAAGTCTTAAATCTCAGAGTTTGTGGTTGTTTTTAAGTGGTTTAAACGATTCGCAAAACTGGCTACGAATAGTGTATAATATATAATTGGAAGATTATTTCTCTGCCAACAACATACAACGGCAACAGCCAGACAAGATTAGCGGGACGACGCGAGTAAATATAATTTTACTGGAATAATTACAAACTTGACGCGCAGGTAATCAAAAGGATTAATCGTATATACAGTGGTGAATTAACGAGACGTTTGGATTTTGAATAACACGAGCATAAAGAAAAAAAAAATCTGGTCCAAGTACGTTGAGCACCGCAGAAAGGTTATAGATGTAAGGTAATCATAAAATAATAAAGTATCGATCCGAGCGTATGGCAAAGATGTTTTGGCCGACGAGAATGGAAAATCGATTCACGTTTTGTTCTCATCGGCAAAAACCTACCTACTAATATGTATTATAAATTAGACGATGTTTCGTGTGGCGTTTGCGTACAATTTTATTTTGCAACTACGTAGTCTCGTGTATATATATATATGTATCTTTGAGGGATTTGTATCCTACAGCGTAACTATATATTTCCGTTACCGAACCGTTTTTCCCATTTGCCGCCGACAGCGCTCGTATATATTCTCGCAGACATACGGCATGGGGCCCGGGCGATTTTCCCATTACCACTTTTGCCTACACCCCGAAAACGTTCAGGTAAGCTATAAATCTTCTTATGCAGTGTAATAAAAAAATATATATAAATATACATATATATATATTAAAAAAACCAAACAAGACAAAAGTAGATGGAAAAAAATGAAAATAAATACGTAACCCTCTCGAGATTTATGTTACTTTTTCCATTTTCTCGACTACTTATTGTTCCCCGTGGGACGAGGGGATGTTATATTTTCTGGTTATATATAAAACACCTATTTTTTTTTTTTAATTTCCTAAGAACCGTCGTCATTTAGTCACCTGTCCGAGAGTTAAATCTTTACAGAAAATATACATATATTATTTTTACAATTTTTATTTAGTTATTTAGTATAAGTCTAAAATATATACTTAATATTATCATTATTTCAGTACGTCTTGCACTTCAGAAATATGTGTTTTTTTTACAATAGTTAATAATAATAAAAATTATAATATACTCTTATTTTTCACAGTGAGAGGTAGAAGAAGATTTTATATATTATTATTATTAGGTACCTAAAAAGAAATCTACTTATTAAATATCAAGCACGTCCGTCAAGATTTCATTTTGATTTTATATTGTACACCGTAGTGCGTATTCACGCTCGTAGTAACACTTTATATTGCCTTTATATTATATGCATATTCATCTCACTTAAAAAAATATATATATTATATGTATATAACGAGGGTCGTACAAGACGCGAGTCTATATTGCAAAAATTTTTTTTTTTCGTGAAATAAAATACAGTGCTCTGTTTGCACGCGGAATGCGCAAGATAGCGGGAAGGGTGAGTTTTGGGTAGGGGAAGGACGTACTCGTGCAGGTATAAATAAGCATGTTTTCAGTCGGATGCTTTCGATTAACACACTCGAGTTATTTCTGGTACGCCGACCTGGCATATTCACCATATTATTTATTATTTGATTAAAAGCGGAGAGCAAGGAGAAATCCAGAATACAAAAATTCACCGGGATTAAAAAAGTCACAGACCACATCAATCCAGCTGTGCTTTAAAATGCGGCAGAGTAGTGATATATGAGCCTGAATTGTCGACCATATAATAATAATGGTTCACTTTAATAGGTGTTAAAAATACCAGGGTTCGTGAAACTACGCGTTTATATATAGACAAACGCATAGAATGCATACATAAGCGACTTATTGTAGCGACTATAGCGAGACGACCCCATTTGATTTTTCAAACCGACAAAAATCAACCTAGTAACTTACATTTTTATGAACATTATAAATAATTCAAAATTGTGAGTTTGATGATAACAGATAGCCTGTATAGTATTCTGTACTTAATCGCAGTGATATACTTTATTAAGGGATGCATTTGGTTACTTTCATTAAATCATTATTTCAATTCTAATTACGATGTGTATTAAGTTATTCATATTTACCAGAATCGAAAGTTATCTCGCTGAGCATGATCCATTTGGCAGCAAAAGACAGCCTAAGCTTAATGAAACGGCCGACTCTCCTGTGCAACTTGATGCTGACATTCCTGGACGTCTCAAATATCCTGTCTTCCATGTAAGTGTAAGTCAACGGTTCCGACGAGTATACTTTTCCTCCCACGCTGAATAAAATACTCGCTTCGGAGAACACCTGAAATCCGAAGTTTCTATTAAGATCGCCGTATACACGACTCAATAACAATATAAACGGAAAAGTATATAGTTGTCAACGACGAGTTGCTTTCCCATAAAAAAAAGTCAATAAATAAATAAAACTTCTATGGTTTTATTCTACAAACGTTCGTAAATTGTAAGTCAATTTCGAGTTTACAACACTTTCATTCCACGCCGGCGTGCGTGCGTCAGAACAGAGAACACCAACGTAGCTGTGCACGGGGAATACCGATTTTTCTTTCGTTTTCATATTATATTATATAAGACGAGACAATCTCAAAACTAGAAATATATTTCGCGTCCCAACCACCAATCAATAACCGGTGACTATAATATAGAAATGTGACAATAATATAGTATAGGTACACACTACCACGCTAACGGCTATTACGGCGTATTGTCTGTGTATTATGTATAATAATATATCGGGTCCTCGAGCATACGGTGATTTATTGCGTGTTTTGGCCCCGTACATGCTAATAGTCTATGGCAGTAGGTTTTATTCTCGTATCAAAATATCTTGTAGGACGGTCTCAGTTAATGTACCACATGAATCTTCATTACTGGCGGACGCAGTGTCAACACATCGTTGGAAGATTTAGTATAGCGTCCACGTGCCGTCGGTTAAAATACTGTTAAAATAATACGTACATCATTGTTGTACTCGAAATTCCTTTTGTCGGGCACGACAATATACGATATCCTCGGGAGTATAAATATTTAACGTTTTGTCTTACAAATCGGTCGCCCTGTCCCCCTGCTGCTCGCCAGCACGACAACGGCGATATTAAGTATTAACGCCCGTTTTTCGTTCACATGTACCTTATTCGTGAATACGCGAGGTTTTTGTTTTTTTGGTAAAAAACATAACACATAAATTATATTACTATAAGCCCACGGGTTTACCAATAAATTATATTTAAATTTACAACATCACACTCGTACCTATATGTTCACACATATTATATTAAGTGAATAATATGTTGTGTCGATCAAAATCTAATAGTTTATGATTACACGAACGCAGGAACAATGGGAATATAATCAGATTAAGAAGTTTTCGGTCCCGACGGGATTTCACCGTGTTGTCGTTTATTATAATATCGCAGAACATTATTACGCAGCAGACTTCGATTGGGCCTCGTAATATTCAGCTGTTAATATAACACCGTAGAAGTGGAGTTGTTTTATCAAAATTCGGAATGCATGTATACGCATGATAAGGTTTGACGATTAGGTATGTGTGTAATGTGCTAAGACTCATTTCGGTATACGCGGGCGAAATTAAAGAAGTTAGCGAACCTTGCGTCACTAATCGAAAGTGATAGGGTAAGATATAACGCTGTAATAGGGTGTGTCTAATTTTAAGGAGCACTTTAAGATTACAAACGCTGTTGATTAAATTACATGTAATGCGAAAAAAGCCAATAATACTCCGAGAAAGTTTTAAGAAATTAGTTTCCAAGAAAAAAAATTCTGACATTAGGACAGTGGTGTACTACAGGCATCTAGAAAGCGCGAAGTTTGCTTTGGCCAATAGCCCATAAAAGTTTTCAGATTTGTAACGGGGAATGAATAACGCAATTAGAGGCACAAAAAACTTTTGCGACTTGTTTAAGTCGTTTTTAAGCAGCGAATGGGAAATGTTAAAACTAGTTTATGAGAAATGTATACAACTCTTGGTATATTATAGTTGGCAACGACCCTACAGAATCCATGTGAAGTATATAGTTATTAATACCGATGTACGTAGATTAATAATACACGTTTCTACGACTAAAATTTATAATTAATAAATTAATTGATTCGGATGTGATGTTGAGTTGAGCATTGAGGATTAGTTTTATTTGCCGTTTTTGCAATACGTTAACGATGTCGTAGATTTAGACCTGCACGTGTATATCTGAACCGTAACAGTGATTAGGTGAACTGTTTTTCACCTACGGATTAAATAGTTAATGCGATCGCAGTATTTCCTATTTTGTCATTGCACGAGCATGATTTGAACTCTCCAAAACGGGCAAACCGATTATATCCGTTAATCGATTGCAGCACTCGGGCTCGTTGCAGTTGAGAAACGATCGGAGCGTTGAAAAAATATATTATTATAGTTGTTTTACATTTTAATATAGGTACGGCTTAATGAGTTTGAAAAAAAAAATACATTTTTAAAGGTCAATGTGCGAATGGTCACGTGTGTGTTCTGTGTTTCTATACGGCAAAACAATGGTCTCGGCGTAACACGTGCAGGACGTGGTGCAAGAGCAGCTTATATAGATTGTTATCTGTTAATTATCGTAAAATCCCCTTGTAAAACAACTCAATACAACAATAACGCGACCGGCCCAACCCCCGCTCACCAACGATCAACATATTGTGTGTATATATAATAATATATATATGTATAGCGTATGAGTTTACCAGGGGTTACCAAAAATGGAAGAACTTCAGAAAAATAAATACGGTGGTCGTTATCATAGATTAGATTATATTTGAGGTATAATTAACGAAAGGTTGTTGTGAAAATAGTTCGTATCGAATTGCTGTGTTCTAGGCGTTGAGGAGTAAATCCGTATTGTCAAATCATAACTCCAATTCCATTATTTAGGTACGGTGTATCGTATAATAATGATTAATTGTTAATGTTTCGAAAACAATAGATAAAATAAACACTTGTACGTTTTCCATAATTTTTGCTTAGGTTAGGTTAAGTTAGGGTTGGTAGGTACATTTTTTTTATCTTGTTCTCACTACAAGGACCGCACGTTAGACACCCCTTGGTCGATAAACATATTACTTGAATTTATATTTATATACAGACAACCATTTACAATTATATGTCGGCGTGTACAAACCTCCCCTAACGTCCCTTTTATCGACGAACGGCAGAAGGTACGTCCTTAATTGATCGTGTCTGACGGTTCTCCAATGTTTCAACACACACCGAAAACGTCGAATTTTCGAAATACATAACTTTAATCTGTTTATAGCCGCGTACTTGTCGTATCGTTATATATTAGACGCCAGAGAGGATACCCAGTAGTCGTCGTCGACGTCATCCCTGAGACCTACTACCGGGTTTTCTAATATAATTTCACCATGTCATTATTATCATTATTAATAATTTCGAGACGCAATTTGCATTCGTTTGCAGATTTCACTCTCTCCCCCCCACCTCCTTAGCATAGTATATACCAACTGCAGTCTCCGGGGAGATTGTGAGTTTATAATCGGATTTTTGAATTCGTTTCCACTTTGGGGTTAGACAACGTCGAATAATAATTGTGTTACCGCTGTGGCATACAAGGGCGCTTTTTAATGGGTTCGATTAGACATCAGCAAATACGACATTCTTTAGAAGAATAAATTATTGTTATATATTATAACGCCGTATACCTAGGTACTCGCCTAAAAATAAATAGTAAAACTGTTTTTAAATTATTTTATAAACGAGGAGTACGTTACCTGTACTTCTTTTTGAAACTGGTTGTTACAATATATATGAACCCCGGTGAACTCTCGGACCTTGTCGAATTCAAATTTGATCTCGATCGCTTGACCATTTCTCGTATCATTTCTCCAACCAACCCATCCTTGACCTGAAAGAGTTATATCTATTAGAAATGTGTGTAAAATGTATACTAGCAATATTATAATACAAATTGATTAATAAAATAAAAAATAAATGCAATTTAACTATAATAATAACACCAGGATTGTGTTGTCAAATTAATATATTGCAGTTATGCTCTTATTTGATAGTATTGTATGTATGTATTTAAACATGACATTATAACGTTAAGCAGAAAATGTATTATGATATAATACTAGATTCCGGTGTTTGTCATCCCGCCTACGGCGGAAAGACTGTGTGGGCGGTGGTGCATCTTTGTCGGCTATGCTGGGTTTTTTGATCCAGCCTGCGGGGGGAAGGGGGGGTCGTCGGGTATTATGTTTTGTCGTGTTGGCAGCACTTTTTAAGCGGTAATTTTTGAACTCGGAAGAGTGTCTAGTCGTAAGTCACGCGATTCAAGTCGATCGTAAGACACAGCCAGCCAGGTAGGCAATCCGACTACGTCGGATCGCAGACCATGCCCCATTCGTGTATGCCGGTTCTTGAGTGTGTGTGTTGAAATCGGAAATTCGGATTCTGGGTTTGAGTGTCTAGCTATCAGTCATCTCGGGTAAAAGTCAATTCCCGAGTGTCGGATGCAGTGGGGGACACTGGGGGGTGTAAGTCGCTCGTATGCAAGTAGCTAGTCAGGTAGGCAATCCGACTACGTCGGATCGCAGACCATGCCCCATTCGTGTATGCCGGTTCTTGAGTGTGTGTGTTGAAATCGGAAATTCGGATTCTGGGTTTGAGTGTCTAGCTATCAGTCATCTCGGGTAAAAGTCAATTCCCGAGTGTCGGATGCAGTGGGGGACACTGGGGGGTGTAAGTCGCTCGTATGCAAGTAGCTAGTCAGGTAGGCAATCCGACTACGTCGGATCGCAGACCATGCCCCATTCGTGTATGCCGGTTCTTGAGTGTGTGTGTTGAAATCGGAAATTCGGATTCTGGGTTTGAGTGTCTAGCTATCAGTCATCTCGGGTAAAAGTCAATTCCCGAGTGTCGGATGCAGTGGGGGACACTGGGGGGTGTAAGTCGCTCGTATGCAAGTAGCTAGTCAGGTAGGCAATCCGACTACGTCGGATCGCAGACCATGCACCGGGCGTGTATGTCCGGTTCTCGTATGTGTGTTGAAATCGGAAATTCGGATTCTGAGTTTGAGTATCTAGCTATCAGTCATCTCGGGTGAAAGTCGATTCCCGAGTGTCAGATGCAGTGGGGGTGTAAGTCGCTCGTATGCAAGTAGCTAGTCAGGTAGGCAATCCGACTACGTCGGATCGCAGACCATGCACCGGGCGTGTGTGTCCGGTTCTCGTATGTGTGTTGAAATCGGAAATTCGGATTCTGAGTTTGAGTGTCTAGCTATCAGTCATCTCGGGTGAAATCCGATTCCCGAACGGACAATCCGCCTACAGCGAAAAGTGCTCGAAACGGCCGTTCAAATATGAAAAAGTATACAGGAGGTAATAAAATTGTATTTGTTGATAATTATAGAGAACAGTTATCAGGTGTTTTATGTTAGGCTTCACTGTAATCAATGTAATCATTGTTATGTTTTCGCGGTTATAACAAATAAGTCGACAAAATCTAATTTTCTGATTGGATATTTTCTAAAATATACCTTCCATGTATATTTATTTAATTATGAGAATTAAGTCAAATTAACAAATAGGTAATTATATTGGTGAATAACAAATTTTATTGAAATGTACTACTATCCTATTAAACGTAGGTATCTATAAATGAATACACTACACATACTCTCGTTTCCGACACACTACTCCACCCCGGGACTCGAATTTTCGAAAAAAACGGCAAATGAAGCAGTCATATTACAGTCGTACTATTTTTTAATATAGTATTTATAATCTGTAGCAGTATTTAACCAAATCGGAATCACGTAAAAACTGTAATATATCAAGTAGGTACTACACGTAGGTTAGTTATACGTTATTATAATGTGTTAATAAAAGAAACATGTAGGTGCGTCGGTAAAATCAAGTATTAATTAAATGTTAATTTTAATTATTTTTTTGCCCAATAAATATCGTCAAACGAATAATAATAATATATATAATATAATAATGCAAATTTAAAAAAACATGTAGGTGCGTCGGTAAATGTTAATTATAATAATTTTTTTGCCCAATAAATATCGTCAAACGAATAATAATAATATATATAATAATATAATGCAAATTTAAAAAAAAAATTAACACTTTCGTTAAAAATGATAAATGTGACGAAAAAAAAAAACGCAAAAATAAGAAATCCGCAAATAACCGAAAATCCCGGACGGCGGTTTCGAACCCACGACCCTCGAGTCACCTATCCTAACGCCTAACCAACCTAGCCACCTACTCAGATGAAATTTCGAGGCAAATGTATGACTTTTAAGCCGTGTCGCCGTGCTCGCGGCGATAAAATAAAATTCTTATCACTTTCCTTATCAATAAAAACAATATTTAAGAAAATCCCAATAAATCCTATCAAAAACTCAAAACCCCGAGTTTCCCCTTGGCGAGGTGGGTGTTAGTACTCTCCCGGACCAAAATCCATCAAAAAAGCAAAATTCAAAAAGGGGGGGAGGAGGTGCCCCCGTTCCCTAAAGCGGAAAACGGTAGTATTCATAAAAAGAATGGGTTCCCCCTTGGTCCGAGGTCTTTAACTTGAATTCCGGCCGAGTTATACTCAACTCAAAATGTGGGGGGGGTGGGGGCTTTGGTTCCCTAATGTTGAAAATTCATCTGGGGCCTAAAAAATTGAGATGCCCATTGGTCCGGGGTCTCTAAGTCGAATACCGGCTAAGTTATGCTTCGTCAAAAATAATTACTCGTTTAATGGTTCCCCCCCACTCCGCCCGACGGTCGCGGGGTAATCGATTTATAAGACGTTATTATCACGTCAAAAAATTGAAAAACACGGGTTTTTGAATTTTTGAATCTCGAGCACTTGAACCGTTTCTGAATTTTTATATTATATTACACACGGAAATATCCCAATTTTCATAATAATATATAGAAATACGGAATAATAATAATAATAATAATAATAATGTTCGAAAATATTCGTCGATAAGGAAAAGGGAGATAAGCGAGCGGAGTTTATAGCGAACGCGCGGGAAGTATTGTGATTGGTCGTCATGGAAGAAACGCGGAGTGCCGTGAGCGCTCCCCGCGGATCTTATACGCGTTATTAGCGTTTTATTATATAAGATTATCATAATAAGTAGGTAACTATCATGAATAATATTTTGTTATATAGATCAAATCATTTTAATAATTCCATAATTTTCTGAATGAAAAAAAAAATATGAAATATTACATAAAATAAGGTCGACTAGGAATGGGCGGTAAATACATAACATTATTGCGATTAGCTAAATCGTTTGGGTATATGAATCGGAAAAATCAACGTTTTACCCTCTCATATAATTTGAAAATAAAGTGATCGTTTACCACGGTCCATTAGGTTATATGGTGGACACGGGCATTGTTGAAAAAAAAAATTGGAATAAAAAACTATTTCTACCACGCAGATCTAGAGTAAGTGGTCGTCTCTCTTTTCCTCCAAAAAAAGCTTTTATTGAATTATTCATGAAAACTAGAAATACGCAACGAACATAACGATTGTGGTTTATGGAATGTTTACACCGACTTCGAGAAAACTTGTCCCATGAATATATTTTAGGTTTGAAAACTTGGTATATAATATGGGCGAATAAGTAGTTTATTATACATTAGTTTGAACTGTGATGTAATGTCGAACGCCTAATTCAATGATAAATTATAAAACATTTATATATAAATAGGTACATTAAATTTTGTTTTTGAACTAGGAGATATATTAAAATAGTAAATATTATGTATTATTAGATATTGATTTTTACTTAAGTTTATTTTTTCAAGTAAGTATAATATTATTTTCCATTTTCTCTTCCAAACGAAATACTACGTTAAAATGAAATAATAGGAATTGTGTTAACAGAAAATAATTTATAACATTGCCATATATAAATATTATATACTATATTTTATACTATATATAATATTTATAATAATTATTTTTTTTCTTGTCTATTATTTATCTACATACCTACTTACTCCTGATTTTTTTAGTAAATAATAGTTATCATAATATAAAAAACATTGGTCAGGCACTTACCTCTTTCGGTGTCATAGTATCCCATTCTAAAGTTATCGAGTCCAATTTTGCCATCGGTCAGTTGGCCAAGACCTCTTTGCAATTCATCGTCCCAATATCCGTCGTACGTGGAATCGTAAAACTCCCATTCCGGGCTGCGTTTATCACCTTGCGGCATCGAGTAACTTAGAATGCCATCTGAACACAACACGTTATACGGATTATTATCGATTTGAATAATAATAATAATAATAATGATATAATATGAAAATTAAAAATGTCCTCCATACGAACAATTTCTTCGAGAACAACAATATATTAACGCTACTAACCTGTCCACAGACATCCGTAGAGCTCGACTCGCATGCACACCTGTCGGGTGTGGTAGCTGTGCGGCAAGAATCTAATTTTCGACGCCCAAATCGGAGGATTCAGTTCTTGTCTGTGTTCTAAGTACGTGTTGATGTTACCGATCAGTATCTGTAAATAATACAAATTACGTTAAATCACAACCGTATATTATCTTATAATGACTTTCGGTAGGTGGGTGTAAATTCGAATCGAACAATCCGGTGAGCGAGAAAAAAAGCGTTCACAGTATTATACTGCAGTATCTACACTATCAAATAACATATTATTCTTGTTTAACGTTTGTTAATAGGCACTACAAATATGGCCGACACAACTATAATACACACGACGGCTTACGATCATACGAGTATATAATATATATATAGTGAACATTGCGTCGTTTAAATCGCAGCGAAAACGTATTGATATTAAATCGAAAAATAAAGTTCAAATACGTCGAGAGAGAATACACGTATACCTATATGGGAATTATTAATGTCTTACGTATGAGGGAGGTTTTCTGTACAAAATTACAAAACACAATAATATATAATATAATATCGGCTTTTGTGTCTCCTTTCAACCGAGGTGTTGTAAATATGAAACACACAGCGAATATTGTACCTCAGAGAAGTCGTAGATGACCGCACGGGAAATTATCACGCGCCATAATCAATAATTGCGTTGGGAACCCATATTTTTCTCGAACGTGATTATTTTTGTTCACCCGACGAGGAACGTCGGACCGCGTGTTTGTTTGCCCATCGACCAATGTCAATTATTATCGCGAAGGTATGTAAAATATTGACCAGCAACATGGCTTTAGCTCGTTTATAATATTATGATTGATTCAACCGTTGATTATAGGTAGGTACGTCTAAGAATTTATAATAATATAAATTATATGCTCTTTCTACACTCTAACAAGGCCCTAATAAGTATTGTAAAGCCAAAAACATATTATTCCGCATATGGTATTTTTAACAGACAAACATTTCGGGCGAAAATAATTATTGGTGAGAAATGATTTCATCGCAACGAAATTACACGGCTTATAACTTGAGATAATAATAACCGTACGAAAATTTAACGTAGGCCAGTGTTTTCGAAATAAATACTAAATAATTGTAATTAATCATCGTCAAAATATATGATATACCTAAACCGTTAAATATCTTCACAAAAGTGGAATTCGACAATCCGTTATAGTGTTTTCCTATAATACATAATATTTATGCATGCAAACCATTTGATTACTGTAATTATATATTGTTTATTTTTTTAACTGCACACACATAAAAATAAATCACCAGACTTTAACCGCTAGTTTGCGATGAACGATTCTGCCTATCATAATATTATATATATTATAATACAGAATTATTATTATAAATCACGATCGTAACATAAAATGTATTTAGTTCAAGCACTCGCATGTAAATTATACGCGTTAATGTGAATAAAATAAATAATGCGTTTCACACTTTCGGGATTGTTTGTAGTTGTCCTCGTATATTTGTATATATATATATAATAAATGTTGTGTACGATAGCTGTAAAGACGTCCAGAAGTGTGTCTAAAAAGAAGTCGAAACGAGTTTTTTCTTCTTTTGAACTCTGTATAATGTGTACACACAGACCTCTGGGCGACGGGACAATACGTACTCACAATAGACACATTTCACTCGAGTAGGTATCGCACGCGTGTAGTACCTAACCTAATACATACATAAGTATACATATTTTTAGCGAATGACAGTACTATATATTTTAAGTGTGTACTGCAGGGCGTCTCGCATGATCGAAATTTGACCTATATTATAGGTATCTATAACATAATATACGCACATTAATGAGTATTTTTGCAGATAATTGCCACCCGACTCTCCTCGTTTACAAAATTACTAATAATGTCGATATTATTTATTTACTTTGGCCTTTCGATCATAATACCAAACGATTTTATACACACCGATTCTTTTTTGTCAACCTAGCCCCGCCACCGCCTGGACGAAACTAATACTATGTTACTTTACTATAATATAAGACGTATGCACACACTATAATTTACTACACAGACACACTGTATATAATAATATGTATTGTTAGTGCGCGTAGAATCTGCGACGACGACGACGACGACAACAACGACGGCGGCGGCGGATTGTTTATTAAACGAGAGTACATCTGTTACACAGTTTTGTATTTCGCTACAGTGATTTATTACATAAAATATCATAATGTACAACCGTTCGCTGGCAGCAAAAGCTCGACACCGCAGCAGCCATACGGCAGTATATAGATATAATATGCCCACTATACAGCCACACGCCTTTCTCCCCGTGCTCGCTCTGACGTCCTCTTCGTCTTCTCACACCCCTCACCACCCCCTACCAGACCATCGTAATAATAATAATAATAATGATTACTGGGCTTTATGAATCATTCTCGTGGCGTTGCTCGATCTCTCTTCAATATGCGCGCGGAACGGGAAATATACAGAGCGCGGCAATAAAACACGATAAAATTAGCCCGGAGAGAGAGTTTCCTCGTCACCAGATGTTACTCGCATGATTTAGAAGCCAGAGGTCCCTTTAATATATATATATAACGTATATGCGGTGGCGGCTGCAGTATCCGTCTTTCGCAGACGCTCGAGGTTCGCGACGTCTTCTCGGCCGTAGGGCGTATATCAAAGCTTTATAATAATATATATATGTTTAATGTATATGCTGCGCGGGTAACCTAAGGTGGTCAAAAGCCAATTTCTGATGAAAACGATAGTGAATATAACCCTACAAGTGAATTTACCACGATAAAAATGTAATATTTTCATTCAATTTTAAATCTACGACACGATTATTTGGTAATTAAAAACAAGCCCTACTAAAATTATATCACGTATTACACTCTAATACATGGAGGTTTTTGTTATTCCTCGCTAAATTGCATTACAGTTCAAATCGATGGTATTGAATTAATAATATTATTTTTGGACCTCGAATAAGCAAACTCAGTCTGTGAGGGACGACGAGAATCTTTCTTTGCGGCCCAGAGGAGATGGCCAAAAATTGATCCTAGCTGTAGTCGAAACGAGTGTTCACTAGGTATACGGGTTTGACAAAAAAAAATGTTGCAAAGCGGTGTCCGTATACCATTATCAGTGTGTGTTGGGCAGCATGTATTTGTGGACGCGGTGACGCGGAGGGAGGCTGCAGGTCGTGACGTTCTCACGATGTTCATCTCTCTCTCTATAGTCTTCGAGCGTTTTAATTGGGACGAAAAGCCGAAAACAAATAATGAATATATTGTGCTGAACTCGACTATCATAGGGGTCAGGTAATTTAATAATAACAAGCACGTATCTCGAAGACTTATCGGCCGGGGGCAGGAGGGGAGAGGGACCGCGCATGAAACTTTTAACGGGTTAATTGGTTAATACATAATACGCATCAGTGCACCACAAACAGAGTTGTATACGTTTTACTGCGATAAGAGTAAGATACATTTTCAGAATCTGATTCTTCATGTTCATAACCACATGGACAGAAATCGCAAGGTAGTTTATTATTGCAGTGTAAAAAATCATCACGTATACGCTTCTATTTAATATAGAAAACTATAATAAGTCCCTAAAAATATTTTGAATGCATCTCTGCTTATAGTACCCCACATCGCTATACATAACAATGAAATTATGCAAGTATATTTACAGATTTCACACACGAAAAAAAACATTTATTATGGTTATAGTTAAGCAGACGTTACCGATTAGTCAGTCCCTATATAATAATATAGTTTCCTTTGATAAGGAGATGTCTTATGCTATCGGTGAACGAATGATGTGCATTGTAAAATGAGGCTTTTGGTAATAAATACTACATAGGTTTTTAAATTTTTAGTCTTAAGAGTTATTATGACTCGATAGTCGATATAATCTCATTTGTAATAATAATCGACTATACTATATGTATATATTTATTTCGAAATATTAAGACCATGGTTTTCTAGATTTAGAAACTTACTTATTCTTGTTCACTTCACAACACAACGTTATCAAATAATTTGATCGAAATATTAATATACGCGTTTCACCACTAATGGAAAAGAAAGAAATCGAATTTCGACGTATTTTGAATTTAAATTTTTTGGCGTGAACAAGATATTTTAAACATAATATAAATTTAAAAGATTCAAAAAAAAAAAAAATAATTATGACGATAACGTATTATTATTATAGTATGACTACAGGTTGAAAATGCAAGTTGTGAATTTTTATTATACCACTATAAAACATCGCGTACCGATATTCTGTTATTTATTATTAAAATAATAGTTAATATACCCGAAACTGGCTCGTGTATCACGATAATAAACATTGTTTAATATTTTATTTGCACAAAGAATGAAAATAAGCTGAACATCCAACATACAACATCGATTCAACAACATAGATTTTTACACTCTTAAAGTATGAGTTTTCAAAAGTCCCGAGGCTCAGAATTAACTAAGGAACTAAGGTCAAAGACGATTCGATGTTTATTCCACTACAGTTGTAATAGGTACTATGTTTATGCCGATGGCTGTGTGTATAAAATATAATAATTATGATGATGACGTTACGTCTTATACTACACGACGTATATGCGATAGGCGTTATACATCATAATAATAATATATAGTTATATAATATACTTATAAACGAATAGGTGTCCGCGGTTATTCCGTATAGCTGTGAGGTATAACTCATTAAAATCAAAAATCAAACATCAGATAATTGGAATATCGGAATTTGAAAGCTCTGTGCACACAGTAGGTACCTACTTGCTATGTATACGTTTATAATATATACAATTATACGTATATGACATAATATTATGGTATTTCGGCGGTAGTCGTGAAAAGCGTAGGTATAATATTATATATACCACAGGATAATAATAATAATAATGTTTTGTGTAGATACGAAACGAAAGTATTACGCTATACATATTATATTTTTACGACGATGATAAAAATCGTCGGCGACGCCAAACCACACCACAACGACTGTCAGCGACCGACTGAACCCACCGTACTGCGATCTGCGAGCATAATATATAGGTATACTCGTATTACAATCATAGTAT